CACAGGCGTTTAAGGCCTTGTTCGTTAATGCATCCAATGTGCCTGCAGTGGCTGAGATGGGGTGTTTTGGACTTGGCGTCACTCGAATACTTGCTGCTTCCATAGAGGTGATGTCGTCCGAGGATGCTATTTGCTGGCCTGGGTTGATCGCTCCTTATCAAGTCTGTGTCCTGCTTCCTAAAAAGGGCAGCAAAGCAAATGAAGCCACACAAGTGGCTGAGGAACTGGCTCAAAGCTTGGGAAACAGTCTACCAAACTTGAGAGGAGAGGTGGTACTGGATGACAGGGTTCAGATGACCATTGGTAAACGACTGAAGGATGCTAAAATTTTAGGGTATCCATATGTGGTGGTGGTAGGACAGAAAGCTCTAGAGGATCTGCCCAGCTTTGAGGTGATTTGTCAGCAGAGTGGAGAGACCATGTTCCTTAGTAAACAGGGGCTAGTGGATCTTTTAAGTAAAGTTGAAACTATCTAATCTAATATTGTTTTATAACATTTTTGCGTACATTTTACAGGCTAAGTGTTCAAGAGAGTTCAAGCATTGAGCATACACAAGGTCTGTAATAAAAGTATGTGATGTAGAAATCTCTGCAATGTTATAACAAGGAAATATTCATAATAAAATGGGTCTGTTTGTTATATTTTTGTCATTTTGTTCTTGTCATAATAGAGCCACCAAGATTCACTAAGTATAATTTAGTGTAATTTAAAGCTTATGCTAATAAGCATATTTAATACGACATCGCAGATAGCACTGATTTTCCAATCAGTATGCGCACTTAAAAATGGCCATGTAAAAGAAAAAGTTTTAGGCATTTTGCTAATATTTCCATTACCTTCTTTATTCTTGTGAGAGACGTTTTCATTTTTATGTGGCAGAGTTATGTCATTATGACTCTTGGTGTACTTTTGGTGCAGAGGCCAATATTTCATGTCTTTCTAAGATAAATAAATGATGCAACCTTGATTTAAATACGTGGTCAATTAAATATTTGATACAATATGACACTTGACGTTATAAGATATCCTTCTTGGTATAATTTTTTTGTTTCACTCCAGACCAGCTGGTGGCGGTAATGCGTCTCTGATGTGTGTGTGTGTCAAGCAGCACAGGAACATCTTGCTTGCTGCGGCCATGTGGTTCCTTGCTATAATTTATTCACAGTTTTATCGCATGTTGAAGTGTTATGTTTAGCTCCTAATAGCGGATACTCTTTGAACACTGTGACGAATTAAGATACATCCAGTACCACATTTGTTTAAGTGGAATATAGCACAGAATTCGTTTAATAAGTAAAACGATGGCTGCACTGGCGCAAGGCGAAGACAGTGACGATAACATGGATGAATTTATGGAGAAGTTTAAAACACAGAAATACAAAAATGCGTTTAGTGAAAGCAACTGGGAGGAGGTAAGAACTGTCACATTAGTAAACTACACTGGTTACAATATGTCACTACTCTTGAACATGAACATGGCGTTACTGAAGTTCAAGCAGTGTGCTATAACATTGCATTTGACTGTCACAGCTTGTTATTATATATAAATACTAGTTTTAAATCTTGCAGGAGTTTAATAAGGTGCCCATGTTTATGAAGACAGCCCCAGAAAACATTGACCCAGAGAAACACCCTGATCTCGCCTGCATTCAGTCTATTATCCATGATGATCACAGAACACCTGAAGGTGCGCGAAGCTCTTTATTTCTTACTTTCTCTTTGTATTGATTGTTTCTTCATGTAAGCAGTCAGTGTACCTCCTTTAAATTACAATTGAATACATTGCAACTGAACCTTTTTCTTTTTCCTCAGAGAAAGCCAGAAGTCTAAAGGATGAGGGGAATGAGTACTTTAAGGAGAAGAATTATAAGAAAGCTATAGTGTCTTACACAGAAGGATTGAAAAAGAACTGCATGGATATTGAACTCAATGCAATTTTGTTCACCAACCGTGCAGCTGCACATTTCCATTTAGGTACAGTCAGTATTCCCCCAAGCACACTCTCACACACACACAGGTCTATGTTATAAAGTTAGATTTTGCCTTGCAAATGTGTCATCATAATTAAGTTTTTCCTCTTTCGTGCATGCAATTATCTTTTCCTCCAGGAAATATGCGTTCGGCTTTGAATGATGCCACAGCTGCAAAGAAACTGAAGCCAGACCACATTAAAGCTATAATCAGAGGTGAGTTGTGTCTGTAGTTCTTAGTTGCTTCACGAAAGCAATTGTTTTGTGTACAGAAAATAATTGTTCAAAGTACATATGTATAATTTGTGTGTATGTATTTAGGTGCACAGTGCTCAATGGAGCTGCGTAATTATGCAGGAGCATCGCAGTGGTGTGATGAAGGTCTCGGGCTGATTCCCACCGACAAGAAACTACAGGAGCTGAGAGCCACAGCAGATAAAAAGAAGGTAGAAAGTCCTGACGGGAAGAAAAAAATTAAAATTTGCTGAGAATATGCCAAGATGTAGATGAGTTTGTTTCCTCATCAGAAGATGTTTCGAGAAATTTAGCATTTCTTCCACCAGTTGATCCTCTGCAGTGAATGGGTGCCGTCAGAATGAGTCCAAACTGCTGATAAAAACATCACATTAAGACACACATGATGGAGAAATTTAGCATTTCACCAGTTGATCCTCTGCAGTGAATGGGTGCCGTCAGAATGAGTCCAAACTGCTGATAAAAACATCACATTAAGACACACATGATCCACACCACAGTGCATCAGTCTTGCGAAGTGTGTGTTTGTAAAAAGAAAAACAAATCCTTAACTAAGGAGTTTTAACTTTAAACCGTAACTTCTGGCCGACCTATCAGTTCATAATCCATAATAACACTTCCTCCAGTGAAAAAATCCACCCCCTGTTATCCTCTCGTACCAAAATCCACTGACGTATTTGTTTAGAACTGTTTCGTTTAGTTTTGTTTATTTCTCTCCAGCTTTTTCACTGAAGAATGCAATATTATGGATATAGTGTGTGTGTGTGTGTGTGTGTGTGTATATATATATATATATATATCACAGAAGAAATGGTTTGAAATTAAAAATTCTCAAGGATAGATTTGTTTATTGCAAACACAGCTTTTTACTTTACTAGACATTAATTGATGGACTGGAGTTGTGTGGATTACTTTTTAGTTATTGTGATGCTTTTATCATCTCTTTGAACTCTTTCTGACGGCACCCATTCACTGCAGAGGATCCATTGGTGGGTAAGTCATATAGATCAACATTTCTTCAAATCTGTTCCAGTAAAGCAAAATGTAAGATGGCCTGAAAGTAAAATTTAGGTAAATTATCATTTTTGGGTTAACCATTCTTTTAAAGCTTTTACGGTTTAAGGATTTACAGAATTAGTGATCCTAATATAAATCTATTAATATTAAATTCTAGTTATTACAATTAAACTCTTCATTTTATTTGTTTGTAATTGAACATTGCCATCTTATTTACATTGTTACTTATTATATTCTCACACTACCCAACTGTGCACTTTTTTATTTATAATGTTCCAGTTTTCTTTGCTGTGTTTGCTCCTGTATTTAGTGTATTTTTTTTATTGTAGAGGGAAGCTGACAGAGATGCCAGAAAGGAGAAAATTAAAGCGAAGAAGGAGCAGAATGAGAAAGAAGCATTGTTAGCTGCCATTAAGGTACTGCAGATATAGAGTTTATTTATAAAAGTATTTTTTTAAACTGAGTCAAGAGAGCAAAATCTTAAATGACTGTTGTTGTTTTTTTACTTAGGAGCGTGGCATTAAACTTCTGAAGACCGAGCCTTCTCGACACAGGGGTTTGGACAGTGAGGATGGTGATGGTGATGGAGGTGTGTCTAGAGCCCTGGCCGATCTGGAGCTTGATGGAATCAGCTCTCAGGAGGCCACAGGAGCTTGTGTTTATATGGATGAGCAGGGAGTCCTTTACTGGCCAGTGCTGCTCCTCTACCCTGAGCACAGCCAGACGGACTTCATATCTGCTTTCTGCGAAAACTCCAGGTTTGTTACAAGGGAGGCTTAAATATTAAATTACTGCTGGAATTTGATTTATTCTTTAAATTGAAAATCTGAAAATATAGATTAGATTTTTATAACTCATTTTGGGTTGTTCAGCTTCATGGACCATTTGGCAGTTATGTTTGGCGAAGAGCTTCCCCCCTGGGATTCAGAAAGAAAATATCAGCCACAAAATCTACAGGTCGGTATGCAAAGAGACACCACTGGTGGACACCTTTTTGATCCATACCCATCGTCTGATGCTAGCATTTAAATTAGAGGAGATAAGATACCAAAATATTTTTTTTAACCTACATTTTTTTTCAGCTGTTTTTTGAGGATCCTGAAAAAGGAAACCTTTATCAAGTTGATCTTGAAAAGTCACTTCTTAACGTTCTTCAGCACCAAAGGTATTTCAGAGGAATTTCCTCCAAGTAGTTTTATCACTGCTTGAATATGTCTCTGATGTTGTTCCTTTCTATTTTGTTCTTTCCAGGTGCTCAGTGAAGGCAGGGACACCTAGTTTCATTGTGCTGGTATCAGGCTCTCCATTCTCTAAGCAGTTTTTATCAGGAAAAAAGGTCCAGAGATTGAAATGATGTTCTGTTTGGACCTTAAAAGACTTTAAACGCCTTGGCTATAAATCACCCTCCTGCTATTAAGGGCGTCTCTAGAAAACTCTAGAGATTAAGGCAGAACTTTGAAGTGGATTTCTTTTGCGGCAACATCAATGATTCACCTTAAAAGCATGTACTAGCCCATCCATTTTGGTGGGGGGAAATTTCTTTCATGTGCAATTTGAGATATGAAACATTACAGGTGTAAAATACAGATATAAAACTATATCTTTATATTTAACTCTGCATTTTTATCATTGCTCATATTGTTCCAAACCAGTATGACTTATTTTTTTTCAGCAGAATACCCAAGAAAATATTAACATTGGAGCCTTTTGACTTCCATTTGTATTGACAGAAAGCAATGAGACATTTCTTAAAATATCTCTTATGTTCCACAAAAGAAAGCAAGTCATACAGTTTTGGAATGTCATGAGAGTGAATAAATGATGACAGAACTCATTTATGGGTGGAGTATTGCTTTAAAACTGTTTCTGGATTAAATAAATTAGACTCAGCGATGTTGGAGCCTTTTAGACAACATTAACTAGTGCTGAACTGATTTAGTGTTTACTGTTTAATGCAGAACTCTATCTATCATTTAAATAAAAAACGGATTCATGATGAAAATGAAATGGCATATGGTTCCAATAAGCCATGCTTTTATGATTTTTATAATGACATTTTTTATTACAAGTGACATTAGCATAATTTAAATGAGGACTTTATTATATTCCTCTTTTGCTTTAATGACAGCAGCACTCCAGCTGGCATGAACCACATATTTGTGTAAAACTTGATCATGTTGTCCAGCATGATTTGAGAATGTTCCCAAGAGGTTCACATGATCATTTTCACAAACTTGCTTATTTTATCAGTGATCCAGAAATAGTATAGCATTTAATATTTTAATCAAGAGTTTTTCTTTTATTATTTTTAAAATCCCAGATTTTCAATGAGGTCTGAGACTTGTGAACCCCATAGACCATCTCCAGGTTTAAACACTTATTTCTTATTTCACATTAACTGGCTGTTCATGCTTTGTGGCATGTGCTGGAGGAAAGAATTGCCATAAAGACATTCCAAAACAACCTTTTGGACTTTAACACCATAGTAATAATTTTAGAACATCACTCAGCATTACCAATAACTCTAGTTTGAAATGAGGTGCAACATTATTGTCAAATTCCTTTCTTAACATGCACAACTCGTGGACATCACATAATTGTCCATAAGAACATTATCTGGAGTCCCTTCCCATTTTCCACAGACTCTTTCAAATAGACATGGACCTTCCCAGTGAGAACTTTTTCCCTTGTGGCTGTACGCTCTTCAGCAACTTTCTAACCACTTCCAACCTCCCCTTCCTCACCAGATCTTTTGAGAGCTCCGTCACCTCATCTGTGTGTGCTCGGCACAGTGCCTTCAACTCAATCTGAACAATGTTTGCACCGTATCGCTCTTCTGCCTGCTTTAAACATTCCTCTAGTTGGATTATAACTTGACCCGTGTCATTCCCACTCTGGGTGAAGCTCACTAGAATAGCCTGTAGCAAGCAGCGCAGGACTGCAGTGTCTTGGACACTGGGAGGTTCCAGTTCAAGCGCTTTCCTAAAACAGTCAATGGCGTTCTGCTCCTCTCCTTTCAGCAGCAAGCAGCGGCCCCGCAAGAGCTGTAGTTTAGAGATTGTAGAGCCCAGAGGACACTGCAGAGCTTTAGATAGACTGACCAGGGCCTGGTTTATCGCCATCTCATCGACCAACAGGCTCTCCTGCAGAGCGTCCACACCCATGTAGTAGTAAACCTGACAGAAGGGGAGAGAGATGGATATATTAAGCTCTTAAACTATTAACTATACAAGTAGTTAAGCTACCAGTCAAACATTCAGAATGATTTTTTTTTTATGTTTTTGAAGTCTCTTATACAAGGCGGCATTTTTTTTGATAGATGCAGTAAAAACAGTACTATTGTAAAATGCGTTCTAATATGCAGATTTTTTGCTCAAGAAATAAGAAAATGTATTCTTAAGTATTATTGATCTAAAGTGATAGTGAAGTCAGTAGCCTTAGTGAGCATAAGGGACTTATTCCAAATGTTTGACCATAGTCTGTTTTATGTTCTCAAAGCTACCTGACCCAATTCCAAATGAGTCCTCAAACAGGGTCGCACAGCCAGAACACGTTCCAGATCAGCATGGGCCTCTTTCAGAATCTGACGGTCGGGGATGCCACCTTGGCCACACTTGGCTTTATCAAGATCCTTTGCATATGTGGTGACACTAAGCTGGAGAAAAAGTTGCAATAACATATTTTGAGGTGCATTAAAACTATAAAAACAAGATTAGACGGGGGGGGGGGGGAAAAAGGGGCAGAAAGAAAAAAAACACACTCCTGCAGAGCATCCACACCCATGTAGTAGTAAACCTGACAGAAGGGGAGAGAGATGGATATATTAAGCTCTTAAACTATTAACTATACAAGTAGTTAAGCTACCAGTCAAACATTCAGAATGATTTTTTTTTTTTTATGTTTTTGAAGTCTCTTATACAAGGCGGCATTTTTTTTTGATAGATGCAGTAAAAACAGTACTATTGTAAAATGCGTTCTAATATGCAGATTTTTTGCTCAAGAAATAAGAAAATTTATTCTTAAGTATTATTGATCTAAAGTGATAGTGAAGTCAGTAGCCTTAGTGAGCATAAGGGACTTATTCCAAATGTTTGACCATAGTCTATGTTTTATGTTCTCAAAGCTACCTGACCCAATTCCAAATGAGTCCTCAAACAGGGTCGCACAGCCAGAACACGTTCCAGATCAGCATGGGCCTCTTTCAGAATCTGACGGTCGGGGATGCCACCTTGGCCACACTTGGCTTTATCAAGATCCTTTGCATATGTGGTGACACTAAGCTGGAGAAAAAGTTGCAATAACATATTTTGAGGTGCATTAAAACTATAAAAACAAGATTAGACGGGGGGGGGGGGGAAAAAGTAGAAAATGGATGCCATTAAAAAAGTGCATGTTTGTTTCAAATGAATACAGTTCAAATTAAATTTTCTGGTTATCAAACATTATTGGATAACGTTAATGTGATGAACTACATCTGTAGTAACTCTGTTAGGAAAGACACGTGTAAATGTACAGAGCCATTAAAGGGATCACCCCAACATGAAAATTCTGTCATTAATTACTCACCCTCATGTTGTTTTAAACTTCAATTTTGCGAGGCTACGGAAATACTGTTTGTACGCAAAGAACACAAAAATAACATAATTTATTAAATTCTTCTCCCCGAGTTACCGTCTTCTGCCATTTTGGAAAGTACCACGAGGCATGTGCAAGCTTTCCCCAGGACAAAATCAAGGTTGTTTACGTTCAGCATGCGTGTTTTCTCCTGAATGTAAACAACACTAATTACGTTCTGGGGAAAGAGCGCACATGCATCGTGGTACTCTCCAAAATGACGGAAGACGGTAACTCAGGGAGAAGAATTGTTAAATAATTTGTTATTTTTGTTTTCTTTGCGCACAAGAAGTATTCTCGTAGCTTCACAAAATTGAAGTTGAGCCACTGATGTCACATGGACTGTTTTAGCGATGTCCTTGCTACATTTCTGGGACTGGGAACATTACATTTGCATTGCTGCAGGGTCTGAGAGCTCTCCGATTTCATCAAAAATATCTTAATTTGTGTTCCGAAGAGGATTTGGAATGAGAGGGTGAGTAGGCTAATTAATGACAGAATTTTAATTTTTGGGTGAACTAACCCTTTAAGGAACTTGGTGATTTAAAAAAAAAAAAAAATTAATATTTCTATGCTTTTGTGTTCACTCACAATTCTTGTGCACTCTCTCGCAAAAAGTATTTGTTTGCAAATACACTGAAGTTTTGTTTTTCTTTCTGTCTTATATTAGTTCCATCACAAACGTTTTGCAAGTGGACATAAAGTTTCTCAGGAAGTGCAATACATTTATGATTTATAAGAGAATGCAAAAGCTTTGAAATATTTTTTCTCTCTCACCATGTCCCTTTACTGAACTGATTTAATCCACTAAAATTTGGGCAAATTAAAGGGAGTAGTTCTAACATAATTGGTTTTTTAGATGCAATAACATTGTGTCCATACATTTTGGAGCACTTTTTATGATGAGTCACAAAGTGGGTGTTTCTTTGTCTTTGCAGAAGCATTTGTTTTTGTCATCCTAGTTTATCCTGTGGTATAAAACAGAAATGCATATTAAAAAGTGGGTGGTAATCAAGTATTTTGCTTACCTTGGCCCGAGTGCAGTAAGCCTGCCAGTTGAGTTCTGCATCAGTCAGGACACTCAGGGCCATGTTACAGATACCTGTGGCCATCTCTAGTTTGCCTGACAGGAAGAACACGTTTGCTAGTCTGTTGAGTGTGAATGCATCATCCGTAGCGAGCTTAATGGCCTGTGGAAATCAGCAGTGAGAACAAATCTAATCATTTAGAGTCAATCATTATTATTCACATAGTCATAGTATTGTTAGCTTTAATGCATCAACATGTCAATTTATCAGCTTATGTTTAATCATATCAAACATAAGCCTAAGCACATCTTTCTAACACCTGTGTCAAGAAACAACACGTCACACCCATACATGTTGTGGCTACAGAGGAAAGGTGTGCAAATAATCTCAAGACTGGAATCTTATCTATTAAGTTTGACCACGATAAGAAGTTCTACATTTGATCTGGGCTGACATACAGTACCGAACCGTAACACGTCAAAGGGTCAGATCCGGAGAAACCACAGTCATGAACTGACATTGGCACAGTGGAGAACTCCTCCGTCCGCTCCAGCATGAGACCAATGTAACACCAGGTCAGGGCTAAAGAGTAATGAGGGTTACAAAGACATTGTCTTAATGATTCCACTAAGATCTGCTAGAAGACACTGATAAAAGGTCATTAAAGAGCCAAGCATGACATGTGACAACATAAAACTGGAAAGGCTGGTTTGTGGAACTTTTCACTTCTCCATTGAGCCCTTAAGGTGAGAGTAAAGTAAATGTAACAATATTAGAGACCGACAAAAAGCACTTGAATGTGTGCCAGTGAGTATTTTTCTATGTGAAATAGACTTAAGTTGTATGCATTGCTAAGAACTTCATTTGGACAACTTTAAAGGCGATTTTCTCAGTATTTTGATTTTTTTGCACCCTCAGATTCCAGATTTTCAAATAGTTGTATCTCGGCCAAATATTGTCCTATTCTAACAAACCATACATCAATGGAAAGCTTATTTGCTGTATAACTCTCAATTTCGAGAAATTGACCCTTATGAACGGTTTTGTGGTCCAGGGTCACATTTATGGCCACAAAGTCTTTTATTCAGCATGTCATTTGCGGGGCTTCATACTTTTGCATTATACAAAATTGCAAAAATGCAATCATGAAAATAAACATCATATATTGCATTTGCAACTTCATATCCAATATATGGCACATATTTGCTGTATTTGTACATTACATCTCGCAACTGAAGGCCTCTGAGGACCATAATTGGTCCTTGATTTATGGTATTATCTATGAACATAAGCAGACTGTGTGTATTGCTTTATTAAAAATCTTTATCATATCTTCTTTATAAAAATTACCTTTGAGATGCGTGTTGTCAGATTTTACAGTCTCTGTGAGAAGCTTGAGGCCCTTATTGAAATAGTTCAGTCTTGTGAGGTCAATGTCTTTTGAATCCCTTACAATTCCATCTAACCTATTAAAACAAACAAAGGTTAAGATCAATCTATTATTGTTTTGGTTTATGATAAGTAATGGTTTATTCAAATGTTTAGATAGGCAGTCAGATGTTTGATGATGTGTTAAAAATTAAGATGAACAGGTAAGTGTGAAAAATACTTATGTAAATACCTTATGTAAATTGTTGCCATTTTGAAATACCAACTTCTTTTTTCCTCTATTGGTATCTGTAAGAAATAAATCAACATAACACAATGCACTGTTTTAATACGAAGGAATTTTCCTTTCCTTGTTATTACAGGTGTTTTCCTCGTATTTTGAATTTTGCATTGTATTGTGTTTTGTTTGAGGGTTAAAGGAAATGCGTGAACTAAAGTTTAAACTTAACGAAATATGGTTATTTATATCTACTAATTCATAACTCGTTCAAAAACACACAAAAAATGCTATTCATATAAACTGACAAATAAAAACAATGACTTGAATAAAAAATTATTCCAAAATATTTTGGGTCTAAAAAATGTCAAAAGCTGATATCAACATAGAAAAGGCGTAAAAAAAAGTTGTTTGCTATAATAATATTGCAATAAAAGTACTTCACTGGTTATTAATATTTGAAAAACTTTTAGTTAAAAAAAAAACCCCAGCGGACCCTCATGACCAGATATCAAAGTCAATAAGCCTCAAAATTTCAGAAAATTTGACCTTTTTATAACAAGCCTAGTTTAATTATAAAATAGCACATGGTATAACTCCCCCAAAACATAATACTGTATGAACTATCTCCCTGTACATAAGAATTTGTGAAGTGCTCACCAGTTCCTCTCCGTTATCGAGTGCGCGGTTGTATAACATCAGCGCGGATGTCAGTTTCTCCTGTAAATCTTCGTCCCTCTCCAGCTCCACATCATGAGGATGTGCGTATGCCTGTTCAGCCAAGCACCGTGCTACCCTGAGCCTGCAGTCTGTCTGGTTCTCCCCCATCTCTGGGCCCATAAGGGCAGCCACACACTCCACGCACTCCCCCTCCTCCAGCTCACGACCTAGGCGTTCATATACGTAACCCAGGTTGGCCCAAGCATTAAGGTTTTCTGGATCCTCTTGGCAGATGCTGTGGAAGGCCTCTTCTGCCGTCTCCAGTTCATCTACATGAAAGGCCAGCAGGCCCATCATATTGCGCACAGCGTACTGCAGTCGTCCCGTCTCAGCTTCAAGCTCAGCCCTGAGGCTCTCGCGCTTAAGCTGGGTGTCCCGGTGCCGAAGGCTGACTGGTCCATTGGGTTCACCGTTCAGATTGAGCTCCAAATGAAAGTGGCCAGGGATGTAGGCCATCCCCTCAATCAGAGACTCGATGTCTTCTTCTGTGCTGTCCTCCATTGTCTCCCACACACTTACTGACAATGCCTGACTAAGACAGAACAACTTATATGGGGGACAGGAAATACCGGTTTGAAGAGAAGGAGAAATGAGACATGAGTATGGAAAGATGTTAAACATGTGCTTTCTTGCTTCCTGTAACAGGTTTCTCCACCCCAACATTGTGGTTTTTACATTAACTATGGTAATTTCAAAGGACAACATGGGCGTTTGCGTCAGGAACTGTGTAAAGAATGAGTCTTGCTTTCTGAATTTGAGTGGCACACCTTGGTGTCATATAGGGCTTGCCATTAGCCATGAATTGGCCAAACAGAACACCACTTTAAATACTGCCAGTTGTGATAGAAATGCAATCATCTGCATGTAAAATAACAAGTAAAATGCATTGTGTAGTGCTATTTCTATATCACAGCTTTTTGATCTGTGTGTGTGTGTGTGTGTGTGAAAAAAAAAGTTCTTTGGAGTGAGATAAATGTCACCAGACGTGAGGAAGTTCATGTGTTCTGATGAGCATTTTGATACAGATTTCCTTTATTATTATTCCCTGATTGCTGAGTAATCTGAACTGGTTTGAGTGCTCTTAAATATAGATAATTATTATCAGATAATTATTACTTTAACTCTTCCTGACCTTAAGAGGGTTGTTTACCCAAAATGGATATATAAAAATTATATTATCAGTAAGTCATTCAAACTTTTGTTTTTACATTACTCTAATTCATCAGAATAAATTGAGGATTTTTTGTTTGTTTGTTTGTTTAAAAAGTTATGTGAAATTCATCTTGATTTTTAAAGCTGTTTTAATGTAATCCTAGTTGAAATGACTTGTACAACCAACTTTATAGAGCTTTATATATAAATAAATATATAATATGTATTAGTTATTGATGCTTTAGATTTATTTTATAATGTCACATGCAGTGAGTAAATGATGACAGAAGATTAAATATTTTTTCTTCATTTTAAATTTGTGCTTTAAAAAACATACATATAACTTCTAAAATATTCAGATATGGTATAGCCTATATGAAATAATCACCTTGATCTTTTCAACCAACACAATTCTACATAAAATGTTACTGAGTCGGTTCATAATTTCCATTTTAGATGTAATTTCCCTTATGACCACTAGAATGAATCCTTTCTCTTAATATGGAGGGCATACAAAAAACAAGTGACATGAAGCACACAGGAACTGTGGGTCTTAAATTACATGAAAACCGTTTCAGATTGATACAAATCATCTGAATTTCTGAAATTCTCAGTGTTGCTCATCATATATATAATATGTATTAGTTATTGATGCTTTAGATTTATTTTATAATGTCACATGCAGTGAGTAAATGATGACAGAAGATTAAATTTTTTTTCTTCATTTTAAATTTGTGCTTTAAAAAACATACATATAACTTCTAAAATATTCAGATATGGTATAGCCTATATGAAATAATCACCTTGATCTTTTCAACCAACACAATTCTACATAAAATGTTACTGAGTCGGTTCATAATTTCCATTTTAGATGTAATTTCCCTTATGACCACTAGAATGAATCCTTTCTCTTAATATGGAGGGCATACAAAAAACAAGTGACATGAAGCACACAGGAACTGTGGGTCTTAAATTACATGAAAACCGTTTCAGATTGATACAAATCATCTGAATTTCTGAAATTCTCAGTGTTGCTCATCATTTCAAAAATATCAATTGGAGGAGCATGCATGAATATCTTATTTATATTTTTAATATTTTCATAATACCATCTGGCTGGTAATAGGTCCCCTTCGTGACAAGAGAAATTTCAATGCTAGGCCTATATATTAAGCTCCCATTTTAAAGTAAATGAATGAACAGTGACACTTTTATGATTACCTCAGACTGGAAATATGGGTCTGTTGTGTGAGGTTGTTCTCATCACACTCCTGTTCTGTTTTTGTCTCTGATGACTATAACAGAGGGGGATCCTCATTGTGCAGCCAGCAGATGTTTAATGATGTCATCTTGACATAGTCTTGGCCCTGAGAGAACATAAGTGTGACACAGGATAGAATAAGGACTCATACTTCTTGTCTAAATCTGCATTTAATCTCTATATGTAACTACACAAAAAAACAGACCATGCATATCAGCCATGTGGTAATGTGCAGTACAGACCACAACGTTTTTCATTATATGGAAACATAGTGTCAACTCACCATTTACTGTTCTGACTTGGTTGGCAAGCAGATTACGGATAGGATTTTAGTGGAAACATATTAAATGTCAGTCTAAGATGTGTTTAGCAGACAGTGTGGTGCTTGATATTCAACAGTTCCAGTCTGATGAGAAACTTCTCAAAATAATAATTTTGCACATACATTATTTAATGCAGACATTGTGTTCTGTACAGTTAGTTTTTCATCTTTTTGCTTAAGAATATGACAGTTTAGTTTCTCGTTTTCATGTGTTTCCAGGGCACATATCAAATTCAGATTCACATGAAGGAAATTTTCATGGAAATATGGCTAGATCTTAAATATAGTTTATAGTTAAAATACATATTCATATTCAAAATATCTGGATTAAATTCATTTTGTAAAACAGTTTGTCATTAGCCTACTTATTGTTATTAACTAGCTATTATAGTGATTAAGGTAACACTTCATTTTACAGTGTCCTTGTTACATGTACTTACTACTGTATATCAATAACAGCAAATTATCCATAATTACATGCAACTAACTAACCCTAACCAAGTAGGCCTACATGTTGTCAATTAATATTACTCAGTAGGCCTACTTAAATGTATAATTACACTGTAACAAGAACACTTTAAATGAAGTGTAACTGTGATTAATTACAATTGCGCGAGATACAGGTGCATCTCAATAAATTAGAATGTCGTGGAAAAGTTCATTTATTTCAGTAATTCAACTCAAATTGTGAAACTCGCGTATTAAATCAATTCAGTGCACACAGACTGAAGTAGTTTAAGTCTTTGGTTCTTTTAAACACGCGTTTCACAATTTGAGTTGAATTCTTGAAATAAATGAACTTTTCCACGACATTCTAATTTATTGAGATGCACCTGTATATAGGTATAACAAAGGACTATTTTATAAAGCAGGCCTATTACCAGGTTAACTTGTGGGAGTGAATTGTTCATTTCTACGGTCGCGTTTACTCCGTTGTTTACGGCAGTGAACTTCTGCGCTCCGCTCGCTGTCATGCAGGTGGAATTCAGTCCAGCAGCCGTGTGATTCAAGCACATCAGGACAGACATTCAGTTTGAAGAGAGCTCCTCTCCAAACCTGACTTCATCTCCGAGCATCACATCCACAATATACCTCATCACAGTCATGGCATCATCAGCACAGCCGAGGAGTTTGAACAGCGCGCAGATCGGATACATTTGAACGACGATCTTCAGAGAGACTCGCATCATGCTCAGGTGGTCTGTCTTTCCCACTGAAGGAGATCACACAGGCTGCGTTTGGGACAGAAAACAGTCGTGTGAATGTTTAGAATATTAATCAGGTATGACACTCTCGTGTGTGATGATGCGTTCAGCTCAGTTGACGCATGTGACGTGTGTGTGTTTTTGGACCAGACATAAGCGGATTTCAGCAATAATACTGAATGACTGTTATATGTTTACAAATAATCACAGGATGTTGCGTGAGATTTTTTAGGCGTAATACTGTATATCAGTGGGATGCTTCATAACTTAGTCAAGAAGCTAAACATTTTTAATCCAAAGCAATTGGCTTTCCTTTTCCCCTCTTTTCTTTTAAATAGATCCTTTTTATAATCATGGAGGAGAGCAATACCTGTGAATCAGTACCAGATTTAAAGGATCTGGAGTTGAAAGTGGGGAGAAAGACCCCAGAGGGGCTCCTGAAGTGGATGAGAGAAGAGCACAAAATGATGTCTCATCAACAGACAGACAATAATGAGACAGAGAAGAAGGGCCTGGATGAGAAGATCCGAAAACTTAAAATGGAGATGGTAAGAGCCAATTCTACATATCTATAGCTATTAAACTAATAAATCAACTAATTTAATTTAGCCTACTTCCATCAAATCTATTATAAATTTATATACTGTATTGTATTTAACCTCAACCACATTTATACTCTATCTCAAGCATAAAATGAATGAAGGGTGACAACAGAGAGTCAAAAAATGTGTATAATATGTGCTAGTTTTATAAATGTGTGTGGATGACTCTCACAGCAGTTATGCTACATGGTGAATTTGTTTCTCCTTTTTTATGATTGCTTGTTTTTTCTGTCACATATCCATAGAAAAATTCCAGTGTAAAGCTCTTATATACTGACTATGATTGTATCTTTTCATAACATAACTCCCAAGAAGAAGCCTGCAGCATGTTGTTGTTGTTTTCTCATTTTGAAGGGTCCCAAACCACATTCCACAAACTAAATCAACCAGAAGCAAAATAATTTCTCACCGCATTGCCAAACAGTAAATAGTGTGTTGAAACATGACCCCAAAACTGTCATACAGGCAGTAATGTTTTTAATGAACGGATGAATTGCTGGCGGCCACATATCTGTGATGATATTGATGTGAAGGAGTGGCTTGAGTTTTGGTAAAAGATTTGCTGCTGTTTTCAATGGTCATGCTTCATACTGTAAGTTCAAACGCTTGGGGCTGATACGCCCTCGGTTGTATAAAGAATTGTTGTAGTTAGGGAAATGAGCTTGTTTCCCTGTGGAATGCAGTGCCATTAAGCAAATGGACCCTGATGTTGTTGCTATGGTGCTCTTTACTGAGTGGGAGACTTTTGTAAAAGGCCCCAAAGCTGTCATGGATTATGCTACTGCCAGTTGCATTTCTGATTTTTGGAAGGCAGGGTTATGAATTTGCTGCAGATACGTCTGTGATCTTAACATGCCAGTGGTTTACTGCATCAGCCCATATCTGTGTGTAGACAAGTCTGTATGTGGTTTCAGATAAAAAAGGTGAAGGGTGCTAAAAGCAATGTCTTGACTTTTTTGTCCAAA